CACCTCCCCCTGCCCCCCATCCCCTCACCGACCTTCTCCACAGCGACACTACGACCAGACGCCCCCGCAGGGCAGGGCAGGGCAGGGCCAGGCCAGGCCAGGCGCTTCTCGGTGCCCTGGGAGCTCTCTCTTGGCCCGCGCTTAGAAGGAGCTTTATTCCTGCTGCCAGCGGGACCTGCCCACGCGAGCCCGCTCCCCGGTAATTGTGGTGCCGTGCCGCCTGCCTTTAGCCTGCGTGTCCCAGGAACCGGGGTGGCCGGGGCACGGGCCCCTTCCTGTACCGTGCTTCCAGTCCTGGTTGGGTGATGTGCAGCGGAGCCCCCCAGCGCAGGCTTGCGCGGGCGCTCGGGGCCAGCATGCACGCTCCACCGGGCTTGGGGAGCTCTGTCAGCACACAGCCAGGCTTTACAGCTGAGCTTCCTGGAAAAACTGCCCTCCTTAGGCACCGCTGTCCGCAGCCCGTTTGACAGTCCAAAGATCACTATGTCCTGCCCTGTTATCTTGTTGCTGCATGTATGCTGTCTTCCAAGGAGAAAGTGAGCTATATCTCATACTTTAGTAGTCTTGTTGTGTTAGGAGCTTACAGCACTGACCTTGAGTGCAGCCAGTACAATAGCACGTTTTATTTGTTACACTGCCACGTTACAAGCACTGTGACTCACAAGATCATAGATTTCTAGCCATAGCAAAGCCCGTGCCTCAGCCACCTCTTCCCCTCTGTCTCTGCAGGCACATTTCCTGTCATGGTGAACGAGAGGCATAATGGCAACCTGCTTGTGCACCTGGGACCCAAACTGCAGGCCTACCCAGAGGAGCTGCTCCGGCAGCGGCGAGGCCACGATGACCAGCCTGAGTACCTGATCCAGTGGAGTATCGTCAGCTTGGAAGAGAGAGCAGTGGGAGGCAGCAGTGCCTCCTCTGCAGAGACCAAGCCGGAGAACATCTCGATGTGGATGTCTGCAGAAGAGGTCTGTGCCAGCTGCCCGGCGCTGCTGGGCAAGAGGAAGCTGGAAGGGCAGTGGGTGAAAGAGGAGAAGGCAGCCAGCCCGTTCGCTGCAGCTGTCCCGCTGGATGAAGCCTCGCTGCTGGAGATGAAGGCTGATGTCAGGAGCCTGGTGCAGCGAGCTGGCCGGCAGATGGCTGAACCCGGGGCCCCCGAGTCCTCCATTCTCAACACCATCCATGTGCTGAGCGCGTACGCCAGCATTGGCTCGCTGGCGGGTGCCTTCAAGGAGACGGGAGCCCTCGACTTGCTGATGAAGATGCTGTGCCACAAGGAGAAGCAAATCCGCCGCAGTGCTGGCAAGATGCTGAGGGCCCTGGCTTCACATGATGCAGGTGGGGGCTGCTGCTGCTCAGTGCCACTGAGGAGGTGCTGCTGGGCAGCTGAGGGGTGCCAGTCCTTCTGTAGGTGTGGGATGCCTGGGAAGCAGTGTGTCTCGGGGCTTGTTGGCAAAAGGGGAAGAATCAGACTGGAGCTTCCAAGCGGCTCCTCGGCCGTAGTTGTGTGGGGTGCTCTAAGACTTGGGAGCTCTTTCCCCTGACAGGTTCCTGGGCTGGGATGCTGATTAACTGTTAGGAGCGTTAAGGGATGTTAGGGGTGGCTGTCTCCTCCAGCAGGCCCAGCACCTCTCCTGCCCCACCACTGGAGCCCAGCCCAGGGATCCAGGGTCCCTCAGGCTGAGGGATGCAGCTGCCACTTTCCTGTTTGCAGGTTCAACCAGTAGCAGAGCTGAGCGCCCATCCCAGAGACACACAGACACACACAGGACACTGACATAGCTGGCCACAGGCAAGGCGCTGCCTTCAACAGCACGTACATACGGGACTCACATAAACATAAACACAGATGGCCAAGTCCCCTCCTCCTCTTCGGCTGGCAGAGACAGAAGGTCACTTGTGCCAGCACGCACAGCACTCTCCAGGTTCACAAGCACACACACATTCAAGGATCCCTTGAGTACCAGCACGGCCCCTCTGCCCGGCACCCCTGCCTGGATCTGAGCCCCCCTGCCTGCCTCAGGTGTCCCCCTGCTTGCCAGCTGGTCAAGCCCGATGCTTGCTAGCAAACACATAGCACTCAGATACTTGTCCCTCATGCAGTCCACATTCACAAGTCCCTTTGGACTTCTAGCACAGATCGCCACCCGCCTCATACCCTGGCCTGGACCCAGGGCCTCCTACTTGCCAGCTAGTCCAGTGTGAAATCTTGTTAACTAGTTACACGCACACCGCATGCACAGCAGGATTGAGGAAAATACAGATGCTTGCCCTCGCCACCCCCCCACCCCCAGCACCAGGCACTGCAGTTCTGCTTCAGCTGCTGGTGCTGAGCTCCTCACTTGCCTCCCTCACAGTAACTGTTTTCTGAGACACACACCGTTCCCTGTGTGGGCCATGGCCGAGGGCCATGTGGCTGATGGCCAGTGGCTGATGGCCGAGGGCCCCACCCACTCCAGTCACTAGCACTGAGACCCTCGCACTCGCTCCAGTAGCTGGCACTACAGGCCAGGGGCACCTACACCCCTGGTCTGACTCCAATAGCTGGCATCCAGTCCGCTCTACGCCAGTCTCCCCAATAGCTGGCACTCCGGGCTCAAAGTCTGTGGGACCCTCCCCAGATCCAGAGAGCGATGGCCCCTCCAACTGCTAATGCCAGGACCCCCACTCACTCCAGTCACTGACACCACAGGCCGCAGGGCTCCCACACCCCCAGTCAGGCTCCAGTTGCTGGCACCAAATTCCACTCACGCACATGCAGGTCTCACCAGTAGCTGGCACTCAGTCCTTGCAGCACACACATGGGATAGAGAGATAGTTAGGAAAGATTTAATAAGAAGGTGTAAGAAAGTAGGACAAACTGCAGCAATCAGGCGCAGGGCTCAGTCAGACAAGTGCACTGACAGGCCACGGTTTACACACGACTGGCCCCTTTTATAGCCCTTTCTGTGCACCCCCATCTGTGTTCCTTGCCAATTCACTTCCCATGCACATCACCACGTCTGTTGGCATAGTTCCACCGAGGCCACTCCAACATCCTGGACCCTCAGGGTTACATCCTTATCAGTTGCAAAGTCCCAGTTTGCCTGCAGTTTCTTCATAGCCTGTCAATTAGTGCAGCTGACTGGGTTTGTTTCTGATTATTGTCTTTGTTAATGGTAATTGGTCAGGTTTTATGTCTCTGTGTGTCTGTCTCCCTCCCTTTCCTTATCATCCCAATTTGACAAGGTCCTTAGATAATCTTACTGAAAAAATAATCATTCTCACACTCCAGATGTCCTTACTAATTAGTGTGACTGACCAGATTTGTTTCTCCTCACTGCCTCCACTATCATTTGTCAGTCAGGTTTGTGATTCTTTATGTCCTTGTTTATGGCTTCCTTCTTACTACCCCTTTTTGCAGTGAAAAGGTCCTTGACCGGATACGTTTAAAGGAGCAGACAATCTCCTTCCACATACCCTTACCATGAAGACTTGGCAGAGCCCTGGTGGGTAGAGGCCTGGTCCTCACCCAGTCCTCTCATTTGAGAGGACCTGCCATGGCTTGGAAGTGCCTGATGAGGCTTGGGTACACCTGGAAGGTTGCTAGTGGTGGTGTGTGTCCCACAACAGATCTGGCTTTCCCTGTCCTAGTGCCCGAGTTCATGTGGCTCTCCAGTGGGGCAGGTGGGGGGCTGATTCAGGCTAAAACTTAACTTTTTTCTTCCCTGGAACCCTGTTCTGGAGACAGTTATTTGGGACTGCTGCTTTGGGGGAATCTTGCAGCTTTAGGGGTGGAAAAAATGCAGTGTTATTCGGTGGAGCAAAATGTTGCCAATCCAGATTAAAGGACAGAACATGGTTCTAGGTTACACTGAGCAGCAAAGCTGTTCCTCGCCTGCAAGTGTCTCTTGCGCAGGGAGGGTGGGGTGAGGGTTATCTTTAGGGGGCCTCAAGGGTTTCTGTTGTTGTTGCAGGGAGCTGGGCCTATGTCCTGCTGTCCCTGAGCCAGCAGGATGGCATTGAGCAGCACATGGACTTCGACAGTCGCTACACCTTGCTGGAGCTGTTTGCTGAGACAACATCCTCTGAAGAGCACTGCATGTCCTTTGAGGGGATTCACCTTCCCCAGGTAGCGTCAGGCCCTGCCAGCCCTGGGCCTGTGGGCTTTAGGGGTCAGGAGGGGTGAGAGCAGGGGGCCAGAGCTGGTGTCCTTGTTTGGGACAGGAGGGTAGTCAGCAGTGGGCAGCTGAGCAGGACTGGGTATGGGGAGAGCTGGCACAGGATCTGGCTTGAGGCTGGGGGGTGGTGGAGAGACACATAGAGAGCCTTGTCTCTGAGCAGGGAGACGAGGGTGGGCTGAGAGGTCTCTGCTGATGCCTGCTGGTCCAGAGCTATCATGGGAGCCTGACTGTGGATGAGCTGGTGGCTCGGAGAGAGCTGGGGGCTGGAGGCGCTCTGCAGGCTAGAGTCTGACAGCTGTGCTTGTTGCAGATCCCTGGGAAGCTGCTGTTCGTCCTGGTGAAGCGCTACCTGTGTGTCACTTCTCTCATGGACAAGCTCAGCAGTGGTGCGGAGCAGGGAGGGGAGCAGCAAGAGTGCGCTGTGCCCAGCCTGCTCGCTGAGGAGAGGAGCCGCATGAAGCAGGAGTTTGAGTTCAGCATGGCTATGGCAAACCTCATCTTGGAGCTGGTGCACGTGATGGGCTGGGACCACAGCCACAAGCCAGAGCTGCTGCCCCAACAGGAGCTGCGACCTCGCACCACCCGCTCCATCTTCCAGCACAGGGCCACATCCTGCACCACTGCTCAAGCAGCCCCCACTCCCCCACCAAAAGAGCCCAGCATCTTCAAGACACGCTCAGCCTTTCCAAGCCGCAGCAGCTATGTGGAGTATGTGCAGGCGAACCTGGTGTGCGGCATGCGGGTGCGCATGCTGGAGGACTATGAGCAGGTCAGCGCGGGTGACGAGGGTGACTTCCGCCAGAGCAATGACGGCACGCCACCTGTGCAGGTATCCTCTGCTGGGAGGGCAGGGGCTGTCAAGGGGCCTTTCTGCTCTGTTGTGCTGTAGGAAGCAGCCTTGTGTGGGAGCAGTGGGGTTGGGCTTCCCTTCCCTCAGCTGGGTGTGTGTTGGGCTCTCCTCTTCAGGTGTACTGGCAAGCCCTGGGCTGTACGTACTGGGTTCACTGGCACATGGTGGAGATCATTGGCCCTTCGGGGCAAGAGGAGCAGGAGGGCCAGGAGAAGGTGTCCACCCTGACACACAACCATAAACTGGCAGCAGGTGAGCAGCCTGTCAGCTGGGCCTGCAGCTTTTCTCCCCAGCCCTTCTGCAGCTGCACGCTGGCACTGTGGGTTCTGCTGGTGCTGGGTGTTCG